GCGGTCAATTATGTATGGAAGATGAGTTATATCAGTGGAATTATTATCACTATTATTATTAACCATGGGAACATATGCATAACGCTGTCTGGCTTTCGTATCACATGTTTAAAGTGTGTCCGGTTATTTTGACAAAAAATACAGTAACGACGTTTTATGTCCTCCAGCCCAACGTTATAGAAGACCCGTGAAGACCGGGAAAAGAATAGGTCTTCAGCAACCATGCTTGTCGTAAAAGGCGACTCTGCTTGTCGTAAGAGGCGACTAACGGGATCGGGTGGTCAAGCTCGCTGACTTGGTTGATGCATGTCATTGTATCCCAATTGCGTGCATCGATGCTCAAGAAATAACTCACTGGATTGTCTGGTCCAGACTCGATTATTTACAGACCGCCGTCATATAGCTTGAATAGTGCCGAGTGCAGCGTTAAACCAACAAACAAAATTATTTTCCTAAAAAATGATAATCATTATTAACCTTTATATCATTCGAAAATGGAAAAACGCGAAGATAGTTGTAAGAGTTCTTCCTAGAAGTAGTTGGTTGGGGGAGGGAGATATTTAATCAAGTGCGGTTTTATGTATACGCTAAATAAGAGGAAGAGAAACGTATACCGACTCCGAGCCGACCAGTCCTTGTTTTAGCCCCTTAATGCCGAGCGCCAGACAGGGTAACAACAAGTACCATCTTTTAACGTCTTTTGGTATTACGCGGTCGGGGATCGAACCCCGGACCTCCCGTCTCCACGCGGACGCTCTACCACTAGACCACGGAGGCGGTCATGAACCGATGAAATGTGATGGAATGTTTTTCACATATATATTGCACAAAATGTGTGAAGCCGGATGTTCCAAATGTCAGCCAAACATTAGTCCAGTTGTGTTGTGCTACCCCATACCATGACACTTTCTCCCCAAATTGACGACGCTGAGTACGCAAGCTTCGCTAAAAACGTTCTCCTGGACGCCTCTAGAACCTTGCACGACCGCCAGAGCTGAGCAGATGAAACCTGGACTCATCTGTGGACAGTATACTGTCTGAGTCTTGTCTTCTGAACCTCTTGTCTCTTCTACACCAAGCTAAGCGTGCTTGACGGCGACGCGGAAGTACAATTAGGCGTAACGCAGGACGTCGGGGCCGGATGCTGTGCTCCCTCAACCGGTTGCGTACGGCTCTGCCACTCAGTGGTCTCAACCCAGGAATTGTACGAGCTGTTAATGTGGCAGTTTGTTATCGATTCCGTACATGCACAAACCGAATATGGTTGTCTTATTGGCGTGACGTCAAACGTGAACGACTGACCAATGGCCAATCATGAGTGTTCCACTGCTGTATATAACGTATATAAGAGATTATGTTGTGTTTCAGTGAACATTAAAATGTCTGGCAACTTCGTTTTGCGCCATTCCTGTTTGCAGCAATTCCACGGCGCGAAGACGTTGATTTTCAGCAGCCATGGCATTGCGTAGCCGTTATTTACGGTTAAACAAAAGTGTTTTTTATCAGCACCGGATAGCTGAACAAACAGTGCGTGCTGTTCACATTTAAATATACCTGTGTGAGTATTATGCTCGCAACAAACACGTACACATCCAAATTGAGCGACGTGCATTAACAAGTGCGTGCAAACCGTGAATCAGGACGTCAAAGTCGAGATGTCTTCAAGCACATGTATAAAAGATGCATTATTTAATTTCATAATACATTTATTTTTATTAAATTTTAAATGAATCACTGTTATTTCTTTCCGTTAGTATATATACACAATAATTTACAATGCCAAATGTAACTATAGTTCTATAGTTCGACCTCATGGTACTAACAAGTCTTGTAAAGTTTAACCTCATGGTACATATAAGGGTTTTATAGACAGACCAAATGACACAAACAATGGTAGTATAGTTCGACCTCAAGGTGCAAACTAGGATTTGTAGTTCGACCTCATGGTACATAGAGATTATCGTTTTAAGGATGCGTTAAGTGTATCCACAAACATTCGTATTGGAGTTTCAGCAATAACCACACCTCAAACTTTCTTTCCATTGAATCGACGGCGCCTGAGTGTCGTTTATGGTGATTGATAGATTCATTTCTTTAGATTAATATGTAAAACTTCTCTCAAGAGAACTATCCAACCAAGGTTACACACATGCAAATATGAAATACTTGTCAGTACCAACATAACAGGAGGTCCATGGGGTTAAGTGGTTAACTACTTGTATACCAAGGTTCGAATCCAGAGCTGTATGTAGATACATATCTAGACATACACTTGGGATATACAAGGTCACGTCACTCGGCATTGCTTTCTACTGCACCCAAGAGGGATTATGTATTAATTATGATATCACGACAGGGCGATCGCAATACAAGAAAATATGTAACCCCCAAAATGTCATTGTGGTGTTCACAAACACACCTCTTCCTTTTTTGTTTGTCGTTTAACGCCGCATACATCCAGCTATATGACAGGGGTCTGCCAATAATTGCGTATGGACGTCAATCCAGTGATTAACATCATGAGCATCGATCTGTGCAATTGGGATACGATGACATGCATCAACCAAGTCGGATAGCCTGACCACCCGACCCCGCTAGTCGCCGTGTACATGCATGGGTTATAGCTAGTCGTCGTGTACATGCATGGGTTATAGCTAGTCGCCGTGTACATGCATGGGTTATAGAAGACCAAATTCGAACCCGGTTCGTGGCGAGGGATACATCATAGCAATCATTATCGTTCAGTCAATCGACACGTGCATGCATGCTTTGAAACATTCTCTCCAACGTGAACCCGCTGTGTTACGGTTTATGAACATACTCTCCAGCTGGTACACTGGGTATACGGACAATCCCGTGATGGGAGCGTGGATTCGAACCTTAAAAACAGTAAACTACGGTTATAACGAACTCAAAGGGGCCACTGATATTAGTTCGATATAACCGTAGTTCACTACAGGCTTATTTACAGCATATATACAGCAAATGGCTGGGACAAAAAAACTATGTTAAGTATGTCCGTCAGTTCGTTACAAGCGTGTTCGTTATAAACGTAGTTTACTGTACAAGATACGCACGTCGCTTCAGTCATACATTACACAGATCTATACGAAGCAACGACAAAACTGAATGTGCATCATCGTCGTGTCAGAATTTTGTTGCCTGTGAATTTGTCACGTGACATTATCAGCGTCGCTGTTTTAATAAAGTGTTTTGTTTGTACCTCTTTCCTTACAAGAGTCAGTTTTGATCATCAGTTTCAGATAATTATTGCTCTCTTCTGATGAATAGGAGCAAAAGTAAAATGCGATCCGATCACGATTGTGCGCGTTAAAACCAGTAGAGTAGGCTATTTTCAATACGAGGAAAGCGTAAACTTGGGTGAAAAGAGGAAAATATTATATTTTTACGGTAATATAATAATAATATTTAGATTAGGTGAGAGAGAAAATGACGAAATTATGCAGTACTTTGAAGAATCTGAACATAGAATTCCTCACTGTGACCACTAGAAAACATACATCCTCGTCTCTCCCGTATTTGTCAATTTGCGGTCTTACTTGGACCTTTGCTCAAATTATACTTGTATGGCCAGTCCTTAAATATGTTTTTTCATAAATCCGACATTAAAATAGTTTATATATAATTTTTATATGTACACCTTGATATATACATGTACATTTAAAGACATCCGTGGTGGTTTATTTCAAGTAACGTTTCCCATTTCATTCCATTCTACAAAAGGAAACGTTTTATTTTGGCCTAGCGAAACCAGCCTGCATGGAGGGAACATAACATAACTTAAAATTGTGAAGAAAATCCCTTCTAAATATACACAAGAATGCATTCATCTTGCTCTTAGACAAGATTGATTTTGTTTACAATTTCAGTCTGCCAACAGAGGGCGTTGGCATTTCCAGGCTTGATGGAAGTAGCCGAAATAAGATTGCACATCAGATCAGCTGTTTGACGTGACGTCATCCGCGACACAACACGCGAGGTCAAACGACAAATTCACAGCGATCTATTATTAGCCTATACAAATATAATTGCAGAATGTAACGTCACTGAACGAAAAAAGCAAAGCGTTTACTCATTGCTGACCTTACTGATAACATATCAAATAAAGGTTAAGACTTGCGATAGATTATCATACGATAATGGAGTGTACAGTCAATATCAATAACTTGTAAATCTAATATTAAATAGATTCCATTGCAGAATGTTTGAAACACAAACCCTATCGTGTTAAGATAATATATTCCATTTTCTTAGGAGATTTATTATGTTTATTTGATAATATATATACATTCATAAATAGTTATCAATTACAGAGGAGGGGGGTGCGGGGGGGTGCCGTCATTCGCTTGAAGTTCAAACATGGCAGAACAAGGCCGAGAAGCTTATCACAACATGCCATGCACATGAACATCTCATCACCTGGTTGTTGTCACTCAAGCATGATAACGGTATAAGTACCTACATCGAAACGTCGCTATATGCAATAAACCAGAAGTTGTTACGTTGTTCATGCTTAACATATAAAACACGTGAGGAAATACACAAGGAGAGACATCCGTCACACACCTGCAGTGGGTTCAGTATTTCTTGGATGTTACGTAAATATCTTTTTAACGAACGCGTGATGTTTCGTAAAACATAAACATTATTAACCCCCATGTTCTCCGGCATAAATCTTGCGAGACAGGAAAGTAGTGGATGCATACGCAAAAAGTGGATTAATTATAGCCACAGAGGACACTGGTCTAAGACAGGGTCGTGACGTTACTCCGGAGCTTTTAGGCCTCGGGTGATAAATTGTTTACCAACATCAATCTGACAGAATGTGGTGAGCGTAGGCGAGACGATGTCTTGTCGTGAGGTCAAGTATGGTACAGTAAGCTGTGATTCACCTTCACGTACATCCACAATTCATAAATTGTGCCAGTGACGTGTTTTGCGCAGGTTTTCACGTCAATGTTTTCCCGATATTTTTGTATAAAAGGGGGTACGGGCTCCTGTATCTTCAGTCAACTCAAATTTGCCATCGTATTTCGGCACTATTGCTACAGACTCTCGTGTAAGTATAGCTTTTTCTACTTCTTATAATTCATGTCCATGATGCTAATATTAGTTTTTAAGTAGTATGGCCCGAGAATGATTATGTTGAGAAGCGTAGACTACAGTTCCACAGTATTCATTTTCTTTTAATGATAAGAAAGTGTACATAGGACGAAGGAATCATTCGGTAGGACATTTGTTCAGGAAATATAGCAATTGTGAAAGTATAAACACAGATGATTTCGTTCTGTGATAGAATCGTAGGTATTTGTCTCTAAATTCTAAATACATTACATTTGAGTATAAAATAAAACTCATCCTCAACCTCAGAGCTTCTTGCTGCTATTTCCAACTCAATATCTATCTGATGAACATTTCATAAAAGAATTATGAATTTCCTTTATGGTGATTCATTTATTTGTTCACTTATTTCTTTTTTTCAGAAACATGAATACTCTTCAAATCCTCGTAATTGTTATGGCTGCGTGCTGTGGCAGCCATGCAAGAAATATCCGTAAGTGTTACGAAGTTGACTAATATAAATAAATGAAATCAACATCATCAGGATGAAGATGACGAATCAATGTATGAATTAATATTATATCGTAAACAAAACATTATTCCAGTCACATGATATAATAAAAAATCTGGAAATAATATCTATTTACAAATTGATATCAGCGTCCCCTACACATCGGTGTTGTGTACATGTTGTATATTTCACCGAGCGTGCTACATTATTATTTATTGTAACATATTTGCATGTTACTTGAATGCGGTGTTCACACTGATGTTCCTGATGTCCCTGGTATTCACACTGATGTTCCTGATGTCCCGTGTGTTCACAGTGATTTTCAATTTTCTATTCGTGTTGTTTTCACTACTATTTTGCCTTCGCGCCAAGTAGAATCCGTTTCAGTAAATAATCGAGACTGATTATTCTCCGACGTTAACATTCAATATTTTCTAAAAGAAAAGTTTCCTATTTTTTATTTGCCTATTTTCTATTTGCAGGTTTCAGACGTTTTGTTAACCAGTCACCAGCAGGTACAGTTTATTTACTTTTTCAAGAATACAAATGTATATCCTGTCAAAAATATACATTCATAAATTTGAGTGGGTATATACCCTTTGGTTCAGCTAGTCCTTGCTAAAATCTGGTTTAACGCCGCGTTCAAGATTATTGCACTTATATATAGCGACTTGAATGCACGTGTATGTGTATGTAAGTGGGGCTGTTTGCACTAGTCGGAACTATGCCGGTTTTGTAGCGCTATGCCATGCCGCAGTTTAACATAGACACCTAACTGTGACACAGTATACTGACTCCGAGCCGACCATTCCTTCTTAATGCCGAGCGCCAGACAGGGAAACAACAAGTAATACCCTTTAACGTAATTTTGGTATGACGCGCCTGGGGATCGAAACCAAAACCTTACCCTCCCCGGGAAGACGCTCAATCAATTACACCACGTAGGCGGTCACTTATAATAAGCGGGTTGTGTTTGTATGTTTGTTCATGTTTAACACCATACTCAGCAACATTCGATCGCCGCGAATAGCTGCAAAATTGTTGATGCGGCGTTAAGCAATATTCACTCACTCACTCAGCAACGTTCGAGCTAAATGACGACGGTCTGTAAATAATCGAGTCGGGACCAGACAATCCAGGGATTCTGCATCAATCCCATCAACTGGGATACGATGACATGCATCAACCAAGTCAGCGAGCCTGACCACCGGATCCCGTTAGTCGCCTCTAACGACAGGCATAGTAGCCTCTTAAGGCAACCATGGTTTGCTGAAGACCTATTCTAGCCCGGATTTTCACGGGTCATCATGTTGTGATTTCTTTGTCACACCACCATACAACCTAACAGAAGGACAAAAACCAAACGGTATGAGGAACAACCGAGGGCTGGAACGATGCAATAATGTCACAATACGAAGATAAAATATTATATGATTACTGTTACTGTGGAACCACGAAGAACAAGAAATGTATATGGTATGTAGTTTTATGTCGTTGTGAAAGTCCTTGCCAGGTTATAATGAGAGGTATAACATTGTTTCAGATTTATTTCCACCTGGTGCCAATCACCTGAATATTCGGTCGCTTATGGCTCTCATGAACAATCCAGTGATGCTGCAAGGTTTTGGTCAGGGTAACACTCAACCACAACAACAACAACAACAACAACAACAACAAGGAACGGCTAACATTCCACAAGCCAAATCAACCACTCCAGCACCCAAAGGTCAAGGTCAACATCAACAATACCCTCTTCCTAACCAGCCAGGGATCCAGACGCAACCTCAAACCCCGCCTATGACCCAAGAAACACAGAATCAGGGATCTGGACAAGGTCAAGGTCAAGGTCACGGTCAACCTCAAAGCCAAAATGCAGGTCAAGGACTGACACAACAGGCTCCCGTCCCTGCTCTTTCTACCAATACTCAGAGCACTGTCAATCCAATGCAGCAGTTTATGAGGTATTCAAACATGTTCACCGACCCAATGTTTCTGCGATACTTTCAACAATTCATGAGGAGGATAGACATGATTAAGCACAAGTACACGAAAGGGGAGTATGTCCCCCCAAAAGGCCTTTTCCCCGGGGGATATGTGATAAATGCTGATGGTAGTGATGCGGAAGTAAGGGACATATACGGAAGATTGCACTCAATTGATGGTGGCGTTTTCCAAGCATAACGTCAGTGAAGAAACTTAAACTTTGTGATGCATTTGTGATCCGACTTTTTGTTTTGTTGCTTGCTGGCCAGGCATATTGCAGAGCAAACAATTGCATTATATATGCACTGTAATACATTCCATGTAGATATAAATGTTTCATGGTCATTTGAATCCCGCCTCATCTTTGTTAATCAGTAATGTACAGCATTTTTATATGATGTTCTCTTTTTTAATAAATACAATCTCTTTGAATTGAAACTCGTTCGTGTTGTTACTCTGTTGATTGTTCAAACAACAATGTTCCATCACATTTTTGAAGATTGTTTTGCCAATATGGCAATATTCATTTAACGCAAATTATTTCATGTAGCTGTCTAATGTGCCGGCAAGTGTGGGCCAACGCCTTTAGGCAAGCATGATAATATAATTAAATTCGATGTGATATCATTTGTACATTTATCTCAAAGCTGTTAGTCACTGTCACTGTTTGTTCTGAATAACGAGGACTAGACTCATCAAATGAGGCTTGGCACCATTCGATTTGAATAAAAGCGACAAAACACTTAGTAGGAAATTACAGGAAATCTCTGCCACATGGTCCATTGTACAATTCGACTATATCATGAGCATATGTTTATATATCACTATCAAATAGTGATGATGCAAGACGTTGAGATACAAAACAGGTATCTTATTCCTATGGATACCTCAAAACACAAAAACATTACCTATAACATTGATCTCTCTATTGCCAACCGATTAAGGGCCATATCACATTCAGCCAACCAAATGAAATACTACTTTCGATACTAAAAAGCACATGCGAAAATTGGCTTCGTTTTCTAAAAGCGCGACAACGCATTTCACCAAAATGTCGCATTGTCGCGCTTTAAACAATTAATGCATGTTTTTATATTTTAACAAAGCGCGACACGCGACAATGCTACATATTATAAATATGTTGCGTTGTCGCATAATTACTGAATATTATAATATTTTATAAATGTGCGTCAATGGGACATTTCATCAAAATGTCGCGTTGTTGCATTGAAGCATTGCCTGCCGAGCTTGTATTCGTCACTGCTTATTGACCTGATGAAGGAGAAACCATATTCTCCGAAATGTTGTGTTCCTCATCATAAAGAAGTTCACATCCATATATTCTCTTCATTGTGTGTATCACTTCAAAATGCCTTTCAAAGACCTCACTGCTTATTTTGTGGTTTACGAAACATGATCTATGGTTATAGAAGAAATCGGTCAGTCACATCAATTACAAAGGTGCATACATAGGTCCTATGGTTATAGAAGAAATCGGTCAGTCACATCAATTACAAAGGTGCATACATAGGTCCTATGGTTATAGAAGAAATCGGTCAGTCATATCAATAACAAAGGTGCACACATAGGTCCTATGGTTATAGAAGAAATCGGTCAGTCACATCAATAACAAAGGTGCATACATAGGTCCTATGGTTATAGAAGAAATCGGTCAGTCACATCAATTACAAAGGTGCATACATAGGTCCTATGGTTATAGAAGGAATCGCTAAGTCACATCAATTACAATGGTGCATACATAGGTCCTATGGTTATAGAAGAAATCGCTTAGTCACATCAATAATTACAATGGTGCATACATAGGTCCGTGAAGGAGCAAAGTACATGACTATACATGATTCGAATATGGACATCGCAAAAACATTATCCTGAAAATAGTTCCTTATTTACCAAGCTCTCTAAGCGTCGTTTCGCCAAAAGGGATATCATGAGTGAGTGAGTATTGCTTAACGCGAATATGAACGTATTTCAGTTATGTCACTGCGTTTCAGATCGATGTTGGAGGAAAGCCGGAAGTGATGTAGGTCCAAAACATAATCAGGACAAACCGGGAATTCCAACACACGATCATAGGATTCTCGCACGCCTAGGGGACGCCACTCTGCACAGCGAATTCATCGATTTGAGCCAGTGAGCGTATTATTACCCCGGTCGTCCTCATGTCCACGGGGAGTATTCAACCCGAGCTGCATGCGATGTGATTTATATCCTGTATATTAGGAATAAACATTGTATTTAGCGAGCCTTGGATACAGGATATTTACCATCCACAAACACAAAAGCGTGATAACCTCTTTATCATATAATGTCATTCTTCCATTCTGTGCTCGAAAATCGCTTTCCATCTCTCACAAATATTACCTAAACATTGAATTTTCCTGGAATGTGAGCATTCGTATATATATATGTATGTATGTATGTATGTATGTATGTATGTATGTATGTATGTATATATATATATATATCAATCGAGGGTAAGTGATGTGTCAGTCGGACAGTGACAGTAGCCAATATAGTTCAAACAGAAACCTGTTTCTTATACAGTGGCGAAACTACATATATGCAAAACAACAATTGCCTACACATATTGTTTTACTTGCCTTTCGCGGCAATCCATCGGTCTGTCCGATAGAGTAACTGCCCTTTATCAAAGGGAAGCTACTCTAACCCTAGTCTATGTAACGTCACGGCCACAGTCCAAGTGCAGTCAGATGTACACACAGCGATAACACGAAACAAGGTAACAATTCGAACATATTTCGGCCAAATCCAACTGTTTTAATTTGTGGAAAAGGTTCCAAGCCGCAGAGGTCTACAAGCACAGATATGGAAAGTGATATTGCTTGGCTAGTGCCCTCGCTAAATTGTTTCGCAATTTATATCTCGAAAGGTGAAAAAAACACTTTTTAAAATGCTGTCCCTATGTCAAAGTTAGACACTGGTTTTCAGTATGTTAGACCAATGTTTTCATAATGATAGCAATTATCCCAGTATTTTCTTCAGATTCCCGATGGTTAATTCTGACTCGATCGCGGAATGACAAGGGCTACGCCATGATCGCTTATGAACACTGAAAGTAGTGTAAGACCCCTCAACCGTACAGGCTGAGAATAATCCGATGAAAATGTCAGGTCACAACGTTTAATAGCATTCGACACACAGACAAGTGTGCTCGCTGCAATCTGATTGGCCAATTCCGGCAAGCGTGGTTTGGAGCGAGCACATTCGTGACCAACTCGTGTTATTCCGGGACAAGCCGAATAGCGACTCGTGCCCCTCTCATGGCCATTTTGTGCGACCGGGTTCCGTCTTAGCGCAAACGGGCATACCTTAAACAAATGTCAACTCGTTGCGTAATCGTTCACATATTTCCCCATATATTATACATATTTCAGATGCAATTTAAAGCACATGGGGACGTGCGGAATTATACAGTGTGATTGAACACACTTAACTGTGTCTTGGGTATATTTTTAGACGCAGGACATATGTAAAATCAAAACTTATTTCTGAGGAATTCTTTGATGAAGAACTTGCAGTAAGCAGTAAAATTTAGGGTACTTTTTCATTAAGCAGTAATATTTCTTCTTTTTCAATAAAATCGTTGCGAAAAAATTTTGGGGTCGCATATTTGTCAAATGAATTTTTCAACATATATTATGATATTATCACCAGGTTATTTTACTTACATTTTTCTACAAAATTCATCAATACTTTTGGGCAATATTTGATATTCCTACACAAGTGCATTTCATAAATAACTTTCATTTCAGGGTGTTCTATTTCAGGGTGAAATTACAATATTTAGTTTATTAGATAAGGTATAATTTAACTTGCATTGTCGAAGTCGAATTTGACAGGCATATGCAGAACAGCTGAGAACTGACAAAGATAAACAATTTTATTTTGAAAAGTCCTTAGTGGGCCTTGTCAAGGTGTATATAATATTGCAAAACATCACTTCCTGCATTGTAAGCATGTAAAGACTGTGGATAAAAAATAAAAAGCTTTTTTATTTTTGTTTTTTTCATTTCAGATCAGAAAATGAAAATTATTTGCTTGTAGCGAAGATGATTACCTATCACCAAATTTAATTAATTAACATTATTTGTGCTACAGTGAAATTAACATAGGGGGCCTAGGTTACAAGATCACACAATATCTATGGGAAATAACGTGTTGGACCAGACTGATAAAATAACGAAAACAGACACAAACATTCACTTACCGTTCAACTCGTTCGATGTAGGATTGCTGACAAAGTGTGGCAACTCAAGCTGCCATTGGGACTGCGTAACTACAACAAAAGTTCTCTTTGTGTCCCTATTGTACTGTAGAATTTGTAATCCAAATTTTTGTCATCCGGATACGATCGCACATTTCCTGCAATCCAGTGAAGGATTGTACATGTTTCTTAAACTTATCAAAGAGTGTGCCTTCGGATCCAGAGGAAGCCTAGCCGTGCACTGTTCCAGCTTTTCGCCGTCTTTGAAAAGCTCAAGACACAGTTGATTATTTTCAAATTCACCTCCATTGCTGTCAATCTGTCAAAGCTGCCAAGTTGAATCTAAATTTGGAATTTCGATGCGAAACGATTCCTAAATCGGCCATGGTGGGACATGGGACTTTTAATTCTGCTTTCGTTTCATCCTGACAATTCATATGTTTAATACCGGGTAAAATCTCAAATCGCTAAACATTCTAGACTGGTCCCCTGCGTCAGTTGCGCAGCCTGCTTTCTGTGGCGAAGCATTTGGGTCTTGAAGTCAGACTGTTTTTGACCATTTTAATCATTTTACGATAAGCAGTAAATTATTTATTTACGTTAAGCAGTTATCCTGTTGTATTTTACGTTAAGCATTTACGATAGAAGAAGATGAATTCTACGCTTACGATAGTGTTTGAAGGGTGTTTTACGTTAAGCATTAAAACTCATCAGGATCCTCATGGGCTTGGTAGCATGCTGGTCCCATCATTTTTAGAGTTGCTCTGGGGTCTGTACATTGAAGGGTTCCCGATGGTGTCGTATTTCAACCTCGCTGGTGGAAGTCTGCGACGTCTCCTTCGTCACTGATGAGTTTCATTACATCTCATCATCTGCAAAGTCAGCGTCTGTTGTGGCCTGAGTAACAGCATGTTGAGGGTGTACCTGACAACTGACAACCATGTTGCTGTTCCCTCACTGTTTTCATCCATAGACTCTCCTGAGTCACTCTCATCAGAGACCTCGAGATTCTTTACTGTCACTGGTACTTCCTTCACCATTTTCCTGTACATCTTTGCCACATTCAATAATCATTTCTGAGGAGTTAGTGTCACTTTCACTTATGGGCACTTTGGGAGGTTCTGTCTTGGCTTAGCTTTTGGTCTAACAATCTCGAGTCTAGGGCCTTTCAGCTTGGTTTGCTGCG